TTGATCTGACCTAAAATACCAAAAGCAGGCATTGTTGCTCATTAAAAAAAAGAATCTAAGCATATCAATTTCTCTTAACTTATGTATTTAACATGAATACATCGAAATTCTATTAAATTCATCATACTTATTAACACTTTTAATTTATTATATTTATTAATTTTTAATACAAAATTATAACACTTATTGATATGGTTAAAAAGTAAAAATTATTATTTCTAAAATTTATATTTATCCATATATAATTAATATTTTACATGAAAAAAATCAAAAATTCTAAAAAAATTATTCTCATGTGAAAACATGTGATGTGTGTTACTAAATTCATAATATTTGAGACACAATAAATTATTCTCTCAAAATTAAGATCCAATAAAAAAAAAAGAAAAAGTTTCGGACGTGGATTTATAAAAACAAAATGTAATATTTTTTATAACACATCATTTTGTTTTTGAAAGTCGAACTTAATTTTTAATTGACATATGCTTAATAATTGATTGTAATAAATTACAGTTATCATATATATAATATATATATATTTAAGCCATGAGATTATTAATGGGAGGATGGGACAGTTGCTTGACCTTGGCCGATGTCCAATGGTTGAGATGATTATTTTAATTTAATTGTGGAGGCAACGGAATCATTTTTGTTGCGTTAATGGAAGTGACAGAGTAGGAGTAAAGGCAAACGGTACATTGGAATTTACATGTTAGGGCCCTAATATAGTTTAATTACATGTTTATAAGAAAAAATAATAACCATTTAAAATCTACCTAAAATCGTTGAATTAAAATTGATATATAGCGTAACAAGTATTGGTCTTATTAGTATTTTGTGAAAGAATGAAAATTCAGATATAAATCCTTTAGGTTATTAATTAATTTCATTAATATGTTAGAGATAAAGAGGGGAAGGTTGCCCTTAGAAGAGAGTCTAATTTTTTGCTCATCCTTAATTGGAAAGTTCTAATTTGAAACATTGTAGATAATTTTTATTTCTTTTATTGTTAAATACATAATGCTCAGCCATTGATGCAGTGGGTGTTAGGAAGGTTATCAATTTGGTTTTAGAAAAGGCCATTATTATTCTAAAATTAATTAATTTAAAATTGTGAAAATACTTTGTGGCTTACAAACGATTATTAACCATTTCTATATAAAGTTGATTGTTAGGTTCATGATTATGTTTGGGTTAGTAGTTAATTAAAACACTTTCGCTTGAAAGCCATTATTAAGATTTGTTTTTGACAAGTGATTTGAAAATCTCTCTTCTCTTTTCTCTCCTTTGCCCATTTTAGTTAAAAAGTAGAAAATAATAAAAAAAATAACTTTAACAAAAATAAGGTTTCACAATTTCCCATTATCCAACTTTTTTACTGGATTTTTTTAACTTATATACGTGAAAAAGAATTTATTTTAATTTTAATTTTAAAAAAAAAACTTAGTAATATTGTCTATAAATTAATTTTTGGAGTAAACACTTAAGTTTTGGAAAGGAGGGAAAATAGGAATGGAAATAAACTATGAGAAGAAAATTAAATATTGAAAGTTCGTTACTTTACAAGCAGGTGAGAGAAAACAAAAAGAGGAAGAATTTTTGTATTTTCAGAATTTCCCGGGTCCACCACTTTTTAATCCGTTTAGAACGGTGGAGAATTTTGGCATTTCTTGAAGAGAATCTGGACTATTTTGGCATGGAAATTACAAAAACTGCCCCCAATAGTCCACGCTTATCTTTTGTTGCTTTTCTTAATGTTTCAACTAATTTCGATATATCTTTCAAAAAAAAAAAAAAAAAATCTGACTTTTTGAGAAATCATTAATATAAAATAATTTATATGTATTTGAAATACTCGTGGCATGTTCTACTTGTTTGGGTCGAACTATTTTAATTTTGATTTGTACTAAGTTTCTTTCTGTTAACACAATTGGATGTTTAATTTATTATTATTTTCATTCTTTTATTAAGGTATAGTAAATATGAGTAATAATATTTTTTTCTCATTTATTTTACCTTCCAATTAAACCATAGAATGAAAAATAAAAAAAGAAAAATAAAAATACATATAATTTTCTCCATTATTTTCTTTCCACTCCTTTCAAACTGAGTGTTAAGGCCAGGCCAAGTGCCCCGAAATCCATTGATTATTAGGTTTTGGTTAGGATATTGAATCTCACTATTATTTATATTTGACTCATATTACACAATACAAAATCATTGAAAATAATTTCAATTTCCAACCCAAAAGTTATTCCAATTCCAACCAAAAACCATGTGATAGGCTTAACCCTAATTTAGCTCCTTAGAAATTGCATCCTTGAGTTTGAAAACTTCAACCAGACTGTGTTTTGCCTTCAATATAAAGCCACGGACTATTTGCATGCATGGGACAAAGAAATGGGAAACGCAAGAAATGGATACCAGAAGAAAAGGTATTTTCAAAAATGGCAGAAAATGAAAACGTGGGGAAATACTTAAAATATTAAATATAAAGGGTTATTTATAAAATTTAAAAAATTATAGGAATAAATTAAAAAATAATTAGAAAGAGTACATTTTAAAACTTTTTAAGGGACCAATCAATTCATAATCAATTTCATAAGTTCTGTACTCATAAAAGAAAAGAAAACCAAAATATTTAAATGTCAAAATGGAAAAAAATAATTTAATATTCTATTAAATTTTTCAAAGTTTGGAATGGGGAAATTAAAAGTAGAATTTATTTATGCCTTTTCTAAATTAAAAATTTGTGCAAATCATCCAAATTTTGATTTGGATTTGAAGATATGGATTTTTTCTTAATGCAAGAAACATTTCGCGAAAGGAAAACTGGAATGTCCAATTTTTGAGTATCTATGGAAAACTTACCTTGAAACGTTTTCGGAGCCATTTCTAGGTGTTTCCATTATCTGAAATATTTTCCAATAAAATACGAAAACGTCCGAAGCCTATCCGCCGTTTGTCCGTTGCATTCACAAGGCCCCATGAGTTCTGCACAAATTCAACTTTTGGTAAATGAAGAAAACGATACCGCATTTGGAGATTAAGACGAAGCGCAAGTAGAAGTACAATGGGCAACAACCTCTTTAAATTTATGAAAGAATTTAATAATATATCATTTCAGTGAAGGGAAAATATTATAAAATTAAACAAATCAGAATAAGTTAATTATGATAATATAAATTAATTTAAAAAATTTATTCAAAAGATATCATTTTTTAATATAAAATTTCTATAATGAGTATTCTTTTAGTTATTTTATACAATGTACATACTTCCATATATACAGAAAAATTAAACTTTTAATTCATTAATTAATTATTGTCAATTAAACAATCAAGGGGAAAAATTATGTACGATTCCTATGATTTAGAAATACAACTAGTCAATTCTTTTATTATTTTTAAAAAATATAAAAAAAATTTCTTTACATGCTTCTTCAAATTTATAAGATCCTTCCGTCTCTAATGTTATATATTTACGTTAAATGCCATATGAATTGATGAAATATTCTTTTTATTTTTTTCTACATTTTAAATATTATTTTTGAAAAGACACATGGACAGATCAGTCTATTTTTTAAATTATAAGGACCCGAAGTGTATTTTTTTAGTATAAATTATAATACTTCTTTTTTAACTTTAATGTGTTTTCTTGCTTGATTTAACGGCAAATAAATCAGGATAAGACAAGACATAATAATGGCAATGGAAGCAAAATTTATGGACAAAATGATATATGTTTTAAAAATTAAAAATAATGATATTTTCACAATAATTACAGGAATCGAATGGCAATTTTTCCGAAAACAATCAAAAATAATCTATACCACTACACACTATTTTACCGTTTAATGGACAAAGACAAAAGAAAAAAAAAACAAAAAAAAAAAAAAAAAAAAAAAAAAAAAAAAAAAAGTACCACAATACCCTAGACAAGAGGATGAAAAGACAAAAAAGAAAAAACGAAGGTAATACTTATTAGTAGTCCATCTTTTGGTACATCGTAATATCCAATGCCCTTTTTGAATACTTTATAAGTTCACACAAAGATCGACTTACAGAGTTGTGGAACAAGAAAAGGTAATTCTTATAACTATATACATAGAATATCCGTAAAACACATAATTTGGCATTGTTTGTAGATAATGAATATGGAACTTTTTAATATAAATAATTTAATTATAATTATAAATTTAATAAAACATATCACAATTAAACTCGTAAATCATTATTTTACCAATTAAAAATAAAAATTTTTTTATTCATAATTAGAATAGGTTTTATTTATTTCTCTATATTTTTTTTACCATAATTACAGGTGAAGACAGTTGGCTCGAGCTTGAGTCATTCTTGTCTTTTAATTCCTATACTAGTTGGACTTGAATTATTTTGAGTATAATTTATTTTAGTAATGGAAAATATAATGGGCAACTACATCAGCTGTTTCACGCCGTTCATGACTTTCTCATGTTGTTCTTCAATTTTAATAGTTTCTTTTTTATTTATTGGCTTTTTTTTTTTTTGGAAAAGTATTGTCTTTTTACTATTTATAAGGATGATTTTAATTAAAAATTAAAAGAAATATTTTTTGGGAGGGCGTGATTAAACCATTGACATGTGTATCATTTTTGACACTATTTCATTGCATGAAAAAGGGCCCACCAAATAACCTAATATACCCCACTTTTAAGCGAACCCCCAAAAAGTCATGCCTTTAACCATTTCATTTTCTGTCTTATTATTTTCATTCTTCCAATTACTCATTATACTAAATAATTATATGTATTACCCAAAAATAAATATAATTAATTAATAAAGTGGGCAAATATATAAATAAAAGAAAATGGCGCCAAAACAAAAGATGTCACTTCACAACAGATGTTTTATGTCGACCGAAATCTATAGAGTGCGGACCCACCTCAGATGTCTGTTGACCTTATTTTGCTTTTGCTTATATATAATCCCTATGTCCTTTGATCTTCTTCATGCCTCCACATCCCTTTAACCTATCAAAGCAAAGCACTCTCTCTCTCTCTCTCTCTCTCTCTCTGTCTCCATTCTTGTCTTGTGGAGTAGCTATTTCTCTGTCCTTTCAATTAGAGTGCACTCTCGTCTTTCCGTGTCTTATTTGCAAGGTAAAGTGCCCTAAATATTAAGGGTAAGTTAATTATATATAGTACACAGTAATATTATTTGTTCGGGGAAGTGAGAAGAAAGGGACACGTGGAAAAAATGAAAGAGGGTGGGAGAAAACAAGGAGCAGCATCACCATGTGCAGCTTGTAAGCTTTTGAGGAGAAGATGTGCCCAAGATTGTGTGTTTGCTCCTTATTTCCCAGCAGATGAGCCCCAGAAGTTTGCTAATGTTCACAAGGTCTTCGGTGCTAGCAATGTCAACAAGATGCTTCAGGTTTCTCTCTCTTCCCCTGCTCTTTCACCAAAAAGCAAAAGTATAAATATATTTCTAAAAATATAAAAAATATATTTTGTGAAGTCTGGGTGTTAATTAAGACCTCCTAATTACAAAGTGGTAGTTCTGCCTTTGAACATCATGATATAATTGGTTGGATTCTGTTTTCTTTTTTCTTTCTTTATTAAAGGAGAATAAGAAAATTACTATATTAATACCTAAAATTACATGAGAACAGCCTTACATCCACAAGCCTATGAAAATACTCATCATAACACTAAATAAAGAGAGAATGAGTGAAATATATAAACACTTAGAGCCTACACTTAGAGCGTAGGTAAGTCCTTCCTAAATTTCTACATTCATTGTAAAATATTTAATTAATTTTCTCAAATTATTTTTTTAATAATATTTTATTTATTAAAAAAAAATTCAATTACACATAAAATTTGTCTATCCTCATTTATCCCCGACTTGTACGTTCAATCAATTAAAATAAAAATTTTTAAAAATTTTTCACTTTATTTTTTTCTACTGAATAATCATAAATACTCATTTCAAAAAAGAATATATTTTTCATTAATTTGATTTATGATTCGGCATTTCAAACCCAGTATATATCCCTTTCAAGCAATTCATTGACCAGTTGTGAGGCTACAACACATAAAAACATATTAAATTTTGGTGTTAGTCACAAGAAAATAAGAATATAATTATATTTTAAATATTTTTTTTTGAAAGTAATTACAACACAATAAAAACATATTAAAATTTTGGTGTGTAGTCAGCAAGAAAATAAGATAATTTAATATTTAAATATTTTTTTTGAAAGTAATTATATTTTAAATATATATATATATAATATTATAATATATATATAATATATATATATATATAATTTAGAAATTAACTTTCTATTTTGTAAGAATTTTTAAATTTTATAGAAAAAGTGGTTTTCATAGGCAAAATTAGGTGGGTCCCTCTAGACTGGAAATTTAATTTAAGAAATTAACTTTCTATTTTTAGAATTTTTAAATTTTATAGAAAAATGGTTTTTCATAGGCAAAATTAGGTGGGTCCTCTAGACTGGAAATTAACAACCTTACTTATTTATATATTAATACTTTTTGCATAATTGTATCTCATTTCTGAATTTATTCTCAAATTTCTAATCTCAGGCCAACTACTATGTTGACAAACTAAAATTACTGTATTTTGAAATTAATCTCATGTCAAATATTTAAAATTAATCTCCGCTCATACTTCAACTCATCAAATCCTATTCATATGTAAACACGTGAAAAACTAAATCAACGGTTTGTTTTTTTTTATATACGAAAAAAAATACCAAATAAGATTGTCACATGCTACGTGTTCCACGTGGAAGGTCATATTCAATATATAGTTTAAGAAATTTGTGTTATTAGCAAAGAAAATTTTTTGTTATCCTATTCTTATTATGTCACTTTTTATTTTATATCTGATTTTCAGATAAAAAGTTTTATTTTTTTCTATTTTAATTATATTAATCTGAGGTAATTATGAAATCCTAATATATTTATAAAAAAATACAATATTTTAAGTTTTAAAAATATAGAATAGAAAATTAGTTGTTGTCGTAATCAGAAATTCTCAACTAGGTGAGACTAGGACTGTATATTGATTAATAATTAATTTTATTATAAGCTATTAGTTATTCATCGTTCTAACATTCATATCTATTGGATTCGATGACAAGCTAATGTATAGGCTCGTACTTTAGCTCGAACCTCCTACCAATACGCTAGTCTCACTTTTTGAGATTTCATTTGGCCAGTTTGTATGCTTTTATTCTTAATGAAGTTTTATGTTTATTTTCAAAAAAATAAATAAATAAATAATTTCATTGCGAACATAATACCAATTTTTATAAATATAAAAGAAATGAATAGTAGGATATTATTAAATTTTTTATTTGGTGATGGTCAAATTACAAAGGACCTCACTTGTCCATACGAATAATGGTGCATAGAATTCTTGTCTGAGGCAATAGACAAAAAAACATCCGTCGTCGTCATTATGGTATTCGGTGCAAAAGAAATGGTAGCAAGTATACTGAAAACGACACCCACCTTAATTAACCTTGATTAGAAAGTGGAAGGAACTAGAAGGCATGCAATTAACTTTAATTAAACATTTTTATACTTATATATATGTCACTCATCTTACACATAATCAATATTTGAATTTAAAAGATTAAATTTTAAATTTTTTTAAATTTTATACACGTATAAAGTAGACAAATCAAATTTATAAAATTCATAATTGAGATTTTTTTTTTCTTTATACATAGTTTTAATAAACCAAAATGATATTGTGGGTATAGCAAATTTAATCATCCTTCTCTTTATATAATTTTCATCAAATTGGTGATTTATGATGGAGATGATTTAAACTCGAGATTTCACTTCCTATATTTTCTATAAGAGGTAGGAAGATTAACTAAACTATATGAAAAAGATTTTCATTTAGAATATTTAGACAAACTTAATGTTTTTATTGATTTAAAACACTATTTAAAACCTAAAAAGAAAGGTTTGTTTGATTTTTTCGCTTATTTGGAAGGTGAGAAATCTCAAATTTGAGTTTTTTCGAACACAAGAGTTTTTACCAACTTGTTAAGTTAAAATGCTACTCTCGGTGTATAGTCCATACTATTATTGGCCTCTCAATGAATTAAAAAAAAAAAAAAAACCTAAAAAGGAATGGTTCAACAAATTCTGTAGGAACTTCCGGTGCACCAAAGGGGAGATGCGGTGAGTAGCATGGTGTATGAAGCGAATGCGAGGGTGCGTGACCCTGTGTACGGTTGTGTTGGAGCTATATCCTCTCTGCAACAACAGATTGATGCTCTGCAAACGCAATTGGCACTAGCCCAGGCTGAGGTGGTGCACCTTCGGGTTCGACAGACTGCCATATCAACTCATGGACTGAGCCCTGCTAGCCCAACCAATAGTGGATCTCCTTCCTCTAGGCTTATTGGACAAGTCAAACCCATTTTTGACATGGATATGGTCGACCAAGCCAGCTTGGGAGAGATGTGGCGCTGCTAATTAAAAATTGCTTCCTATTTCTTATTTCTTGTCTCAGCCTACTATCTGAAATTCATCATTTTGTTCTGGTTTAGGTGTCCACATGGGTAGGAAATATAGCGGCCCGCGGTGGTTATGGCGGCAGCCGCGGTGAAACGCAAAATTAGACTATATTTTTATGCGTATCAATGAAATGTAATATAATACAATCAAATATATATTTAGTGTAATGTAAAATTACATTAGAAATAATTTTGATTATGTTATATTATATTTCATCTATATGTATTGTACATACTTTAAAATTATATACAAAATTAATTATATAGTTTATTATGGATTTGGTAGTCAACCATTTGCCTTTTTTTTCTTTTGCAGTGATTATATTGATATCTTGATTTTGACTTTATATATCCATAGAATATGATTTCTATAATATTTTAAAAATGAAATTTCAAATGAATATATATATATATTCCTATAAGGGTAATAGCTTATTTATATTTATGTTATATTCGCAGTTATTAACTTTATAAAAATAATTATTAATAAAATTATTTTTCAAATGAATATATATATATATTCCTATAAGGGTAAATAGCTTATTGTATATTTATGGTTATTATTCGCAGTTATTAACTTTATAAAATAATTTTAAATAAAATTATTATTTTTTAAATTAATTCTTTAAAGTTTTTATTTAATAATTATATTAGTTAATAAAATTATTATTTTTAAATTAATTCTTTAAAGTTTTATTTATAATTATTTTAAAAATAATAAATTTCTATTTTAATTAGTATTTTCATTTATATAATCCTTTCACCTTAAAATTAATAATATATACATAGTAATTATATTTTTACTGGTGATTTTACATTTTACTAAAATTTTACTCCATACCAATATTGATCACTTAACAACTATCACCCAATCATGCATCAACCAAATGGCTTTAGGCTTTTCCAACCAGCAGTTTTAACTTTTTATTACCTTAGATATTTCATTTCACTATAACAGATCAAACAAACAATTTAGGATAGTGTAATAAGATAAATTTTTTAAAGTCAAATCACGTGAGATTCCGCCTAACGAAAATATTAAATGGGCCAACACCCAATAGCAGGCTTCTCTAATAAAAAAAATCACATTGAACAGCCCATTAAGACAGAAGAAGGCCCACGCATTCGTCATTCCTTCTCCACCACTAGCTTGGACTTGAAATTTCTAATTTGACTAATATAGATGAGTCCTACTGAATTACTAGCTAGTAATATGAGTTTATTTTTGGGCTTGTTGAACCATTTTATATTTTGAGTTTGGACCTTTGATATTTGGGCTTTATTAATTAATTTTAGGCCTGACCCATATTTATTTAATTAGATAATAGATAGAATATAAATATTTATTAGGGACTTAATAATAATTTATATATAAGATATAATTATATTTTGGATAAAATCAGATTCTTATTCCTTAATACGTATCCAATAAGGATTCTAGCTATTACCCTAATCAAGATCTTTTTACCTCTATATAAAGAGATTGAACTCCCTATTCAGGTACGCAATATCTACGGAAATGTAATATCTACATAATAACTATGCAATAGATAATACAAATATTTATTATTCTTTTAGTGACTTAAGCATCGGAGTGGTTGCAGGCTTAAGACCCCTCTTTTCTCTCCAATTTTCATTCATGTCTTGTAAATTTCTATATGGGCACTATAGATGAATTTTTTCTACATCTATCAATAGTAAATATTGTATTATTTATTTCCAGTCCAAGTATTATGATTAAAAGAATTTAGATATTCTTTATTACTAGTAGTAAAAGATAAATGTAAGGAATTTTTATGGAGCATTTTTAGTTAACTAAATGAATTTGCTGAAAATTTAGGGGTGTATTGGATTATGACTGTGTAAGATTTTAAAAGAATTGTTGAGTTTGATGGAATTGAAGGATTTCATAAGATTTTCACATATTCTACTAGAATTTTATATAGAGTTTTATGGAATTGGTAAGGCTTGTTTTATAAATAAAAAACATTAATTTGAAAAGGAAAAAATAAAACTTAGCAATGTATATAAATTTAGTAATAGTAAATCCATAATAACCAAAAAATCACGAAAGAATCACATGTAATCTACAATAAATAATCTACAATAAATAATCATACAAAGATTAAAATATTTACTGACCTGGTTATCAAATAGCAGAGGGCTGCCGTAGACGGCAGCTAGCAGAGAAAACAACTTGTGATTCTGTAAATTTTAGGGCTTGAGTAGGGAATAAAGAACAATGGGTATAAGTGTAAAAAAAAGTTATTTATTTATTTGAAATGCTAAACATTAAGGTATTTAACATTTGATGAAACACTCCTCAACCTGTAACACCCATTGCCTAGTCCCGAGAGACCTGATGACGGATGCCACGTTCGGTGCCGGAGGCGCTGTCCTACATATTATGAATTAGAAGTGACTTAGTATTTACAAGTTTAGCAAGTAATAATTTTTTTTTTTTGAAAATGATTTGGGAGAATTCTACAGAAAAACTGTAAGAGTTTCCACTAAAAATAAAAGTCGCCAAACATGTGAAAACAAAGACTTCCAAATTCAAACTCCAAACCTCCATCAAACTCCAATAACAGCACAACAACACTTCAATAATTTCATAATTACATAATTGTTCAATAACATTTTAATACGCATTAATTAAATACACTCATTTAAATATATCAACTTCTAATGTTCTAACCATTAAATAAGTTCCAAGTTTATCTCTCAATATATATACCAAAATAATTTACAATAACTTGCTTAAGTTATAAATTAAATAATATAGTCTCCAAAAATGTAATTCTTATACATGCCATAATTCTTAGTTACATAAAACATTAATCAATTACCAAAATATCTCTTCAGCTCTGATACTACTATTCTGGTCTTTAAGCAGCAAACACAGACTCTAACCTGTGCGTGATAAAATCAACGTGCTGAGTATCAAACTCAGTGGTGTTCATAAAACACAACAAACCAATGTTGTGATGACAACATACTTAAAACACAAACTTCATAAAATCATTTATATTCATAGAATCATTAAATTCCAAGATGCATTAACATTTATAGATTAAATTCCAAGATGCATTAACATTTATAGTATAAGAAATATCAAGTAAACTTACAATCAATAACATAAATAATTATTCTACTCTACCATTTTGCTAAAATAATGCAATCTCTTTAATTTAATTTCCTTAAAATATTTTTCAAAAGGCTTTGCATACACTTAGGAGAAAAAGAAGTAGAGAAGTTTTCATAGCTTATTCATAATGGCCTTAAGTCGCCAACTTATCATAACATATAGAGCGCATCTGCCCTAACATAACACATCCACGTGCCTAGCATATGATTATAGTTTCTTATCATAATGGCATCAAATGCCGAGCATGCTCATCTTACATAATAAATCATATCATGCAACAAATTCACGCCAAGTATAATAGAGCCCAAAGTTCTTGTTTTTAATTCTTAATTCATACCAATAGTTCTTGCTTTTTTAATTCTTAATTCCATAATTGGTTTTCTCATAAATTCATTTTCCTTTTTTTTAATCTATCATTAAAATCGTAATGAAACTAATATTTAACTTACAGTAATCTCTGAAACATCTCTCAATACGTTAAACACAAAATACACTTGAACATAGGAATTTCCCAGCATAAAAGTACATTTGACCTTTGCTGGTGTTTTTTAACACATAACTTGCAGTTACAGCGTCTCCGAAATTGAATGAAAATTAGATTCATTAGAAAGCTAAGACAAGATACTACAAATTTTATAAGGGATCACACAGTCTAGATTCATTTTTAAGAAATAGAAAACAAGAGCTAGAAACAACAGACCAATAGTCCAAAAAAACACAGACCAATAGTCCAAACCTGATTCAGCAGAACCAAGTCCAATTTTTATTAATTTCCTACTTAACCAAACACTCAAATTAAACTAATCTACCACAAACTAAACACTCATCAAACATCAATTAGGAATGCTTAGAAAACACCCAAGAACACATTTATACAACCAAGGTTCAACAAACAAATCATTTCATATGAAGTCCCAAAATATTGTGAACCCCTCCCCCCGGAAATAGGCATATAATGCATATGACTAAGGGCAGAAATGCACGTGAATGTGTGATTCGTGTGACATCCTACCGAGTCGATTCTTAGCATAGAGTCGAGTAGTCGAGTTGAGTCGAGTTGAACCAAACCCGGTTGGGGTAGAATGGGATTATAAGTGGACTTACTTGATTGAGAGAAATTTATAAGTGGAATTACTTGATGAGAGAAAAACGATCAAAAGCATATGGGTGAGGAATTTTATTGTTGCATTAAAAAGACCAAGCTTTGGGTCTTAAGTAGTTACCTGTTGAACAATTGGAGGTGCCATTTGGAAGTTTCCACACACAAAATTCACATTGATATTTTGAGGCCTACCCGTAATAACGAACCATTTCCACTTTTCCTCCAATTATTCATCCCTTCTCTATCTTCCATCTACTTCATCTCCCCTTCCTTTGCTCTCCATCCATTTTCATGGTAGTTAAGCCTTAAACTTCCAACTTCCTCTCTATCCAAGTAAGTAAAAACCTTCTTGAAAGTTCAATAATATTCGAATAATTGTGGTGCATATTTGTAGAATATTTATCAAGAATTCATTATTTAATAGTGAAGTGAGTTCAAGGTAGTCAGAAAAAGGAAGGTATTAACAGACAGAGCTCAAGCCTTTTCGGAGTAAAGGTCTTCGATACATCCTTTTCATTCCCATTTTCTATTGCATGAAGAATTTATGTGGTGTGTTGCTAATGAGAACAATTATTGCTTCATGTTGAGTGCGGAGGACTGGTAGTGGGTGAGAAAACAAGGGGGAAGGAATTGAATAAATGAAGTACAATAGTGAGTTTATGCTGAAACCAGGGGAGTTACTGTCTAAAGAAATTTTAACCCAAGGAAACTTTATCATTTGATTTTGACCCCATTTAATGATTGGAATTAGAAGTGTCATAGAAGAGTTTATTTGTGCCTCTTGTGTTAGGCTTTACATGGGCTTTTTTGAAATCATCTCCAAATCGGAGTTGTATATTGAAGATATGCACCAAAGAGTACAGACTGGTGCAGGCTGGAAAACGCGACGCGCGCCGGCGCCGACTTGCATGACTGAGCTTCGCGTTGCAACTTCATCGCGCCTCCTGCGGAATTTGCACTGCGCGCATCGCGACTTTC